AGAGCCCTCGTGATCGAGATTATAGCCCACATAAAAGAGACCCCAGAGAGCTAGCTCATCCTTTCCACCATGTGAGGACACATGAATCAGGAAGCAGACCCTTACCAGCCAGTGAAGCTGCTAGTGCCTTGAGCTTGAACTTTCCAGCCTCCAGCACTGAGAGAAATGAATTTCTATTGTTTATAAGCCACCCATTTATGGTATTTTGTTATAGCAGCCCCAACAGACTAAGGCAGGGACCAGCTTCTTTTGTCTTCCTGCTGGTTCCATTATTAAGGAGTTACGTAAAACTACCCTGTGTGCTCACAATCTGTTCGTTTGAAAATTCTGCTTTAACATGTAATCTCTCTAAAGGTTCAGTTTCCCTGCCTCCTTATTTTAGATTTTTTTTCAAAATTGCTATTTTTAATTACACAAATACTATATGAATTCATTTTTCTCCTTTTAAACATTAGAACATAAAGCTTGTTTGGACCTATTTACTTCCAGGAGTCGAATCATGTTACTTGAGCTTCTCTTGGTCTGTCCAGAAGTTTGCTTCCTTTGAATTTTCACTGAATTACTTATGGGAGTCCCCAGAGTTCATAGACTAACTGCTGTCACCGGACTGCATCCTTCTGCCCATTCATCTTCTAGTTCCCTCTTGTCTAGGCCCACAGCCAGCTAATATAGTATTCCCATCAATAAGTGAATAAAGTGCGGTATATCAGCACCATGGAATAGAAAGGAATGACTACTGATACACACACGCAGGAGCAAGAGAATTTCAGAATAATTATGCTGCATGAAAGACACCAGACAAAAGAAAAGAACATACACTGTATGACCCCCGTATACGAAATACTAGAAGACACAAACTAAGAGTGACAGAAACCACATTAGCAGTAAGGGCCGATAAAGGGTATTTGAAGGGAAAGAAGGAAACTTTTGGGGGTGATGGATATGTTTATTTTCTTGATTATGGTGATGGTTTCATGGGTATATACCTAAGTCAAAACTTATCAAATTGTACACTTTATACATGCGCTGTTTCTTATATGGCAATTATACCTCAATAAAGTTGTTTTTTAAAGAAAGTCTACATAAACTAAATGTGGCTCTCTGAACCTAGATTCTTGTATTTTTGTATGAGAAATGCTGGTGTGTTATCCTTAATCATTCATGGAATATTCTGTACTTCCCCTTAGTATGACAAATTTCTCCCCAAGGGGTTTATATCATGGATGGAAGAGTGAGTGCAGCCTTGAAACTGGCCACATGAAACGACCTAGCAAAGATGAGAGATGCATCTTATCCAGAGGTATTTCCTATACAGCTGGCAAATGTGGTATAATATTGCACTCTCTGAACGTATAATTCTTCTAATGTCTCTAAAAACAATTACTTCAAACTGAGCTATAATATAGAGACCATCTAAATTTCAACATTAGTGAAAAACATGCAAACAACTCCACGATGCCATTTATTTTCAGAAAGATGAAACTTTATGTATTTATAAATGTACTCTTTATCTGCGAAAATATTACAGCACACTAATAAAAGAACAATAATAATTTAGTTCTTACATAGTTTTTGCCCCGACTGCCAAATTTTTTGCTTAAACATAGCAACAATATTAACCTTTACGACTAGGATTTTTTCCC